TTTTTTGTTGTTGTTTCGATTGATGAATTATACTAATTTGAATTTTTTTTATTGATATGAGGTTGGTTGTATGGTATTATTATATTATTCATATACACAATCAGTTTTGTTTCAACTTAATTAGCAGCAAAATATGAATAAAAAGACAATTATTTTAACTTAATTAAAAAAACATCCTTAGTAATTTAATATTATAACAATAAAGAACGAATATCAAAATTTAACTAGAATTTATAATATTTTTGTAAAACAAAAAAAAAAGGTGAAATAATTTTAACTTAGTTAGGAATATTTTAATTCTATTAGAAAAGAAAAAATATTTTAATTAAATTAGAAATCTTAATATTAAAATATATTATATTATAAAAGAATTAATAAAAAATTTATAGATGAAAAATTAAATTACCGATAAATATAAATAATGTGTGACACATGCTCAATTAAAAAAAAAAAAAACACTTAATAAAAAGGGTTTTCCTTAATTGCCTTCAAAAGTCAAACTGAATAAGGAGAATAAGAAAGACAAAACTAGCATGAAAATCAACATAAGCAAAGATGCAAAGGGCCGTTAAAGGAGATGGCGTGTTTCAGGACTCTGCGTCCATTTAATTCGTGCTTGCCATGTGCTTGTTCGTACGTTAGTTTTACGCAATGTTTGGATCGGGGGTAATTATGAAATTTGCCCAAATTCATAAGACGAAAAATATTAACTTTTAATTGAATAATTTCTTTTATATTTGATATAGAGATTAAATCAATAGATTTCAAGGATACTTTATAAATAATTATTTTTAAACATTTCTCATTCATTAAAATGAGAGATCTTATAAAAATTTCATATTTCATGTAAAATTTCAACAATCCTCAAAATGAATGATGGTGGTGAGTATTTACTTTGTTGTGTAAAAAAAGTATTTGACCAATCAAAATCAATAAATTATTTAAAACCTCTCATCCAAAATACTTCATACTAAACATAGAGGAATTTAAAAATTAGAATATCAAAATACTTCATTTTCTCATACTATTAATCAAATTTAATCAAATTATTATTTAGTTGGTGAGATTTGTTACAATTATGAATTTTTTCTAAAAAAATAAATTAAATATTCTTTTATTAAAATATCCTCATATATGAAACTTTTTTTTTTTTTTTGAAGAAAACATTTGAAACTACTGAAATTTGTCGACCTTCATTTTAATTTTAGGTAATTGTGCAATCTCTCTTGGGACAAATACATAAATTCATCAATGAATTTTGTTTTTATTTTAATTTTATAGTACTTTCCCCTAAAATTAGGGTTTAGTGTATGGATTTTAATAAAATGCGCATTGTTTCAAACTTACAATAATAATTTTTAGAATTGTTGGCTTTTTATATGTAAAATATGATTTGACGTGTGATTAATATAGCTTTAAGAATAATAATTTTATATTTTTTACATTCAAATAGGTGTTTAAATGATTTAATTTGGTAACTTGAAGTATTCAATAAAATGGTTTTACAAGTTGAAGCGTTTGAAAAATGATTTTATAAATTAAAATATTTGATGAGTCAAATTAAAAATTAAAAGTGTCATAAAAATTCAAGTATGAATTTATATATTCTATCATTTCTCTTATTTATAGGGATAAAATATATAAATTAAAAAAGTATTTATGTCATGATGTCAACTTAAGGACATGTAACTGCCACTAGGACATTGGCCAACTTAAGGACTTGTAGACTTGACTAAATTCGTTACTGAAAAACAAGCGAAAATAAATTTTTTTTTTTTTTAGAAAATATTGGTAATATATTGATAAGTAACATAAGACTAAGTACATTATAAAATTTCATAATAGAAATAAGAAATACAAATAACAATAGTTGAAATCTTTTGTTTAGAGAAAATATTAATAAAAGACATTGATCTTCTAGATAATAATAACCGGTTCTTTTTAATGTGGACAAGCTCTCTAAAACATTATTTTTTTCAAAAATCTGTTATATTTTATGCCTATGGAAGAGTTGAAATTGCCAAACCTCAGTAGAGGAGGGATAAAATTGTCAAACGTTTTGAATGTAACTTTTAACGTTTTGATTAGGTCAAAATACTATTTTTATTAATTGTAATGTTCGGTAAGGTAATTTATATAGTAGCTTTTAAAGATTAAAAGAGTGTTTTTCCAGTTAACGTTTTAGCGTTTCGAAGACATTTATATCCATTACTTTTTTACACGTTACCCAGCTCCATCGGTAATATAAAATCATTCCCTTTGCTTAACTTTTTTTTTTTTAATTTTAAATTTAATAGTTAAATCAAATGGTTGTTTTTACAGAATATTTTTGTTTTAAACCGCTACTTAAACAATTAACTTAGATGATAGTGTAATTTAGAATAACTTTTAATGTTTTGGCCTAATTAAAACACTATTTTTCTAAATTATAATGTTCAGTGATCTAATATATAAGTAACTTTGAAAAGATAGATATCGCTTTCTAAAATGTTACCGCCCCTAACCTTTAAAGTTTTACAACTTTTTATTGAAAATTTTTTACGCATTATCTATTGGACTAAATTCAAAGGGAATATAGATGCATATACGCGGACTAATTGTTCAGGTCAAATTATGGGTCCAAAAACAATTGTTTTATATTTAACTTACGTTATATATATTGTTTAGTTGGTCTCAAGTTTAAACAACTATAATTTCATAATTTTTAATTGATAGTAAAAGAAAAAAATTGGTTGTTTATATATTTACATTTGAATTCAAGCAAATATTAAAAATTAAAAATATTGATCCTTTAAAATGTTAAAAGTTTCTCATTTTATTTATAAAATAGTGAACAAGAAACTTTTATTTATAAAATAATGAACTTTTCAATTTTTATTTTCTTAAATTTTGAAAATTTAGGTTTAGCGCATTTTTTTTATATAATGAGTTACATTCTATCATTATAGGTGAAAATTCCAAATTAACATTTCAATGTCCTTTTTTATCATTTTAAAATTTAATTGTCAATTAAATAACTATTTTTACTGAATACTTTTACTTTCAATCGTACTATTTAAAAAGCTAACGGCTACCACACCCTAATCATTAAGCCATTAAAATTTTAAGTTAGCTTATCCTCTTAATTTTCCTTATTTCTTTTATGTTTTTGATAAAAATACAAGTGAATCCTCGACTCTTTTGAATTTACTCATATAGTTTTTTCTAAAAACAATTTACCATTCTAAATAATAAAAAACATACTCTATATTATAAATAATAAAAAATTATGCTACACTATTAAAATAATTGGTCATGATATTAATCTTAATACTATTTCTTTTTCAAAAAACTATCCATTTTAAAAATATGTGTTCATTTTATAAAATTCAATTTTCTATTTACTCTTTATTATTTTTTCAATTTAAAAATGTATCTATTAGTGCATGTATATATTAAATTATGGTAAATGATTGTTAGTCCCTAATTATTATTTAGTATTCATATTTTGACTAAATAATCGAATCATAACTTTTGGATTTTGTTAAACTATTTAATCATTCTGTACTGTATCAAGTGATATTTGATTATTTAGTTTTTCGCATCTAATAAAAGTATTACTATTTAATCTCTTATATTTAATGTAGTATTGCTATTTAGTCTTCCATTTAATGGCAAAAATGCCGAAGGACTCAATAGTTTAACATATTCAAAAGTTAGATGATTTAGTTATTCATTCAAAATATAGGGATTTAAGTGATAACTAAAGTTAAATTTTGCAAAAAAAAGAAAAATGACAACTTTTATAGGACCGAGAAAATAAATCGAAAACATTTATTGATGTAAAGTGGTATACAGAAGAAAGTTGATGGTGGCGGAAAAGTTGTGGTTAGAAGGAGAGATTTTCTTTTGCTTTTCTGAAGAAAGGAAAAATGCATCTCTTCTCCGATGTTCGCGAATTCGCGTCTTTAAATTTAATAATCTCCACCAAACTTAATATTAATTTTATTCTAAAAAGGTTTAATGGTGCAGAGGATCGATGGGTATTATTCGCTTTCTGAGTGGAATTACGAAATTAGACCGAATTTTATTTATTTCCTTGATTCTTTCCTTCGTTTGGGGGTTATATATGTATATATAATATAATGCTTCTCCAATTTCAAGTATGAATCTTTTTGTGCCACCTGCTCTGCATGGCTTTGATTTTAGGCTTGGTTTACCCTATAAAGCTTACACGAGTATCTTGCTGCTCCCTCACTCCCTCCTTTTTCTTATTCCCTCTTTGCTCTCAACTCAGAGTAAAATCTCATCTTAATAGAATTTTACATGCATTACTAGTGGAAAAATGAGTTCTTAGCAAACTTTTGGTTTTTGCTTGAATGGTCTGGTGCTAAGCTACTTCTTTTTGTACCCTTTTGTAAGTGTTGCTAATTAACCCTTATTATTTCAGTTATTTTAACTTTGTTTTGTTTAGCTTCATCTGGAAATGAAAAGAAACATTTTGTGACCAAGTTGATTTTAGTTGTGGAATTTTCATGCAATGTGTGTGTTTGTTTTTTTATCTGTGTGAAAATACAACAGGCAGAGAGTTTTCTTTCATGTTCTTTTTGTCTGCTGTCAGACGATATCTTGCTCTGTTTTTCCCTTGGATTTGCTAAGAACGGTGGATTTTCCATTTCCAAGTTTTGTTTGTGAATGTGGGTCTCTAAGATTTTGGGCTTAGATGGTCAGGATTTTCTGTAGTCCCCACTTCGTTACCTCGTGCAATTCTGTGGATCCCATTTTTTGTGTTATCTTTTTTCTATTTGCAAGTTGTGTCATTTTGTTGATCTCTTGTTTGATGAATATACTTAAAGATGCTTTTGGGTTTTAACTTCACAGATGGATTAAGTTCTATACTGCAGTAGAAATATGCTTTACTGTATAAAGATTTGACACTGACATGAAATTTGGAAGTTTGAAGGTTTAATGTTGATTTATCAGTTTCACTGATGACTTAATTTTATTTTAATGAAATGTAGGACATACAATTGCGTTAAGAACAACCAGAAGTAATACTGTTGGTGGCTGGAGGTTGAATTCTAGAGCGAGCGCATGTCTGGAAACCGGTGCAACGGTAATCCAAACCATTACACAAGTCGTACTCAACGACTCTTGAGAGAAAGAGCGCTAAAACGAAGCAACAAAGCTGCTCATTCAAATGAGGTGACCGATAACCATAGAGTTACTGAACAATGTGAAACCGATTCGCGCTTCAGAGAAGGTGACAACTCAAACAATTCATATATTGAGCAATACCTAGAAGGGGCTGTTGCAGCTACAAGAACACCTTCTGAGGGATGTGAAAAGCAGGATGGCAGACCTTTTTTTAAGCAACGGCTGTTAGTGGTGGCTAATAGGCTGCCAGTTTCTGCAGTTAGAAGAGGTGAAGACTCTTGGTCTTTGGAGATAAGTGCAGGAGGCCTTGTTAGTGCTCTTCTAGGTAAGTGGTTCAATTACACTTCTTTAATTCATGGAGAATATAACCCTAATTAGAAAGAAATTATTCCAACTTTCTGAGATCAACGCTAATTTTAGTTGAGATTTTTGTTTGAATATTCATCCATATATCTCTTTCTACTCTGTCGTCTTCTTGTTAATTATTCACAAGTTCACTTGATTACATTTTCTTGTTCCCACTTGCAATAAGGAACCTGATGTATGTTGGATGTCATCTAAGGTGTCAAGGAGTTTGAGGCTAGATGGATTGGCTGGGCTGGTGTAAACGTGCCCGATGAGATAGGACAGAGGGCACTTACCAAAGCATTGGCTGAAAAGGTGCATCTTTATGCATCCAAAACTTCAATCCTGCATAATTTTTGCTTTGTAAGACACATATCTTGACTACATTTCACTTTATAATGGGCTGAAATCTCTTATCTTTCAATTGCTTTAGAGGTGCATACCGGTATTTCTGGATGAAGAGATTGTTCATCAATATTATAATGGCTATTGCAACAACATATTGTGGCCTCTTTTTCATTATCTTGGACTTCCACAAGAAGATCGCCTGGCCACAACCAGAAGTTTCCAGTCTCAGTTTGATGCATATAAGAAGGCTAATCAAATGTTTGCTGATGTGGTGAATGAGCACTATGAAGAGGGTGATGTTGTTTGGTGCCATGATTATCATCTCATGTTCCTCCCAAAATGCCTAAAAGAATACAACGGTAACATGAAAGTCGGTTGGTTTCTCCACACTCCCTTTCCTTCTTCTGAAATCCATAGGACACTGCCATCTCGATCTGAGCTACTGCGTTCAGTTCTAGCTGCCGATTTAGTTGGGTAAGCTTCACTTTTCATGCAGCATATCTATTAAATTGTACAGTGTGCCACTTATACCTGCTGTAGCATGTTAAATACTACCAAGCTAATGCCATTAGATTATTAGGTTTATAATTCGATTAGGCTTGAATGTTTTCTTAGATGCTTCACTTTTAAGAAAATATCTCATCTATGTTAGATGGTGTATTAATTGATCCGTTTTTTCTGCATGCTGGATTTCCTTGATTTTCAGTATTTATCTATAATTTGTAGATACATGCATGACGTGTCGTGAACTATGACTTGGGCATAAGTTGTTGATATAGTGGCTCCCATACAGCAGATAAAAGGTTTGATTGTCTTGTCTCGCCTTATTAAGTTCAAAGTCTGATATTGAACTTCAGCTTATGTTTGTTACAGTTGCTGAAGGAATCTACAGGAAATGAGTAATTAGTGATTGTATGTTTCATATATGATCAAATCATGAGCTGATGCCTGCACAATCCCACAAATTTGGATCTGGCACCTTAGAATTTGGCATCATTTATTGGAAAAAAACTGGAGGTTCAGGTCTTGTGTGTAGACATCGGGAACTAGGTGACTAGCTTTCAGCAGCTTGGCTTTGGAATTTAGAAAGGAGAGGGTTACAGATAATGAAGATAAAATTAGGCAATCACATCTAGAGTCCCTATACAATTATTCCTGCTCAAAAGAGCTCAGTGGCTGCTGGGATCTGTGTAGTATTTTTCAGCACAATAAAAAAATATGTACAGAAGATTCTTTATAGCAACTCGTAGCATATCTAATACTGGTAGAAATATGAGTAGGGATAGGAACCTAACTTTGGAAACAGAGAGCTATACTACCTTGACTTGCAAATGTCTAAAAGGTCATGTAATAAATAAGCCCTTTTAATCACTTTGGCTATCCAGTATTCTGCTGCCTGTTTTTTCTATGTGAATATCCAAATTTGCCAAACAACTAGGGATATGAATGTCGTCCTGTTGTAATTCTTAACTTTGCATAACCCATTCTCAGAAATACCTAACAAAAAATAACTACTATTGTCTGGTTTATTGTTTATTGGACCATTTGTAGGTTCCTCACTAAGAAAAAAAAAAAAAAACATGTTTATCTTGTCAGCAACTAGAGTCTGATTCATATGATGCTTTTTGAAAGAAACTATGAACATTTATCATGCATTTCAATTTTCAATAACATGGAATTGTTTTTAAATTCCAAAAATTGATAAATATCAGGCAGGGACTTTTGCTAGTTGCACATGACATGAAAATTTCATTGCCAACTTTTTATGTGAAACCATGAATCTCAATTTTCAATGACATGCAATTGTGAATAAATTCCAGATATTGTTCGCAAATATGAGGTTCCTGGAACTTCTGCAAGTCACTCATTACATTCCAGTAATCATAGACAATAAAGGATAGCATCACTTAGAACAAGTGAAGTTGTCAAAGTGTCAAGATAGGAATTAGTAAGGCTTTTGGTTGGTGAAACCTTTTCTGAACTTCGCATTATAAAATACAATAGCAGAACAGAAGAAGGACAAATTTACCACACGAAGCTTAAAAATACATTTTGTTTTGTGTATGGCTATTGTTATTTGTGAACAACCTTTTCTGATCTTTTATACAATTTAACCCTTGACCCCACCCTGCTGAGGCTCTGGTCTCAGTATTGAGGTGAGACATTGATGGAAGGTGCATTCAACACCGTGTTATTCTAAGAATAACACAAAGAGACATGAAAATTTTTATTACATGGGTAGGGCATATGTTTTAGAGCAAGAAAGGAGAATATGTATATATGAAGTTACTTTCATTTTTTGGTTTGAATTTTCATTATTGATTACTGAATATTGAATTTTAAAAACATTGCTTGGATGTTCTAAGCTTGAACTGTGATATACTCTATTTAATTGTTGGTTCATCATTTCAATTTTCAGAAATTCATTCTTCCTGTAGTTGCCAACGCTGCTTGTATTATTTTATATTCATGCAACACTAAAATTAGTTTTATTCGTCTCTCCAGTTTTCATACCTATGACTATGCAAGGCATTTTGTTAGTGCTTGTACTCGTATTCTTGGACTGGAGGGCACACCTGAAGGAGTTGAGGATCAAGGGAGGCTGACTCGAGTTGCAGCTGTATGTTTGAGTAGAGTCATTTGTTGCTTGCCATTGCCTTCTTTCATCACCCTTGCTTTTATTGTTGCATCTAGCATGTCAAACTCAACAGTTTGTGTTGAATAAATACATAGTTATTCTTGTTAAACTAATAATGGTCTTTTTTCTTTTGTAATGTCAGTTCCCTATTGGTATAGACTCTGAGCGTTTTATAAGAGCACTAGAGCTCCCTCAAGTCCAGGATCATATCAAAGAATTGAAAGAAAGATTTTCTGGCAGAAAGGTAGACATCATTTTTCCTTCATGATGTTTATTTTATACAACTTAGCTTCTGATGTTTGTGAGTTGCTTTGGGTCTGACTAAGTTGATATTCTCAACCTCGCTCATGATATGTATAGTTTGAGATAATTCTGTTCTTGCTATACTTAAATCATAGAACTTCTAGCCTATTCTAATGATGTGGTTTCTATTTGAGTCAATAAAAAATAATGCTTTTTGATCTTGATTTAATCATATTCATATATGAATGGAAATATTAGATTAAAGTGTTAATTTACTTTTCATAGCATGTGATGCATGTTGCTATGGACTTAATTCTGGAGGGTCAGTTTTAAAGTTGGGTTGAGTTCTCGCACTATTTAATTGCTACAAGATTTATCTGGTGATGGTTTTTGTTCCTAATTCCATTCTATGCTTTACGTGTGCTTGAATTCATAATAGAGTATTGATATATTGTTTATAACAATGTTTAGTATCTTCATTGCCAAAACATATATTTTGAATCTTTTCATTGGCCTTCGATAAAACTAGCTTTTATTTCTGTTAATGTTAAGGTTCTGTTGAACAGTCAGTTGTTTCTTTTATCTTTGCGGGCCTTAACAAGTCCACCTGCAAGGTGAAGATATTTATATTTTGATTTGGCTTTAAAATAACCTTTTATAGTTGCGAAGGTTTGAATTATCACTGAAGTCAGCTGTTCTTCTACAAGAGAGGGACTGAATTATATAATTTTTATCACAGGATGCCCTTTTCATTATATTTCTGGATAAAGATAGTGAATTTGCTTCTGAAATGAAGCTGATTTTACATTATGGAGAGTTTTTTTAAAGATAATGCAATGTACTATGATTGTTAATGCAGTACTAAGTGCCGCTACTTGTGGTTTGTTCATTACCTGAAAAATTGTATGGCGCTAATATGAACTCTTCCATTCATTCACAAGAATGTTTTATAATTCCCCGGCACTTTTGTTTCTTAGCTAAACCTTGAATCATACCACTTTTCCAACTAAATGTGTTGAAGTTCTGTTTCATTGGCCATCTGTTACTGATATTTTTCTTTAATTAACAGGTAATGTTAGGTGTTGATCGCCTTGATATGATTAAGGGAATTCCACAAAAGATACTTGCATTTGAAAAATTCCTCGAGGAAAACTCTCAGTGGCGAGATAAAGTTGTTCTGTTACAAATTGCGGTGCCAACACGTACTGATGTACCTGAGTGTATGCTTCTTAACATGCTCCTCTTTCATGAGTAGTACTATTATTTTGTAGTTTGCATTAGACATTAGACATTCTTTTCGCTTAACTTTTGTGCACATGAAGAAACTTGCCTAAGCAATTGGATCTGAAAGAAAGGGATAATAAACATACACAACCCATGCAACCTCCAAGCATACACAAAGACATGGATACGTCCGCATGACCATTTCTATTTGCAGGGTAGGATGAAATTATAATTGTTGAAGAAAAAGTCGTCTTGATTTTTTGGTACATTTCATGGATTGGAATATATGCCCTATATTATTAGATTATGTAACTTTTGCCTTAATCACATTTGTCGCATAATTTTTATTATTAATTTCTTCTTTGAAACTAATCTTGTTTGTCTAAGGGGGAGACATAACCTATCAAGTGAGTACATGGTTTGCGTTTGCTTTAACTCTTTCATGTTGGCATGAGAATATGAGATGAAATTATATCGAACCAAACCTATAATGACATGTCTTTGGCATGATAAAGTAAATGTTTAATTAACCAAATAAAATCAACCTTTTAGCTTTTTCACATGTTAATGTGCTATACTTAACATAATCTTAAAGATATTAATGTAGATCTTTATTTTTTAAAATATGTTCAAGTAAATTGAAGAGAGAAAAATTAGCCAAAAAAATGTTTATGTTAGGCTGTGTTGTTAAGTGGGACTTTTGAGTGGTTAGTATTGTGGGCTTTTATTATTTGCTTAATAAATGGGTCGTACTCATTTTGGATCTTTGGTATCAATAATCAAGTTTGTTTTGGTTCATAGTTATCAAAATGCTATGTCAACTCGGGTGTTTGGATAGGTGCTACTCCATAGGCATGATTTAGTTCTCTTACATTGAAGGTATTGTCGGAAGGGTGTTACATATCTGACATGTAGAATGCGTTATGACAAAACAACATTCATTTTTGTGGAGTAAGTTGTTGCAGTGGCATTTAATAATTCATGATTATAACTAGCAAATGATAAGAAAACAATGGGCTTAGATATGCCCCTTACCCTGAGAAGGGGTGGAAGAGAATGTTTACGTGTATTTGATGTTGACTGGATGATGAAATGGTGGGATAATGAGCTTAAGACTGTTCCTGAAGTTCGAATATGTTATTGGGAGAAGTTTTTGAAGAAACAAGTATGTTACTGTTAGCAAGGTTTTACTTAACGATGGGGCGAGTCATTGAATCCATGTATTGAACTTGGGAAAATGGGATCTAAGGAGAGCTCCTCATTCCAACAGGCCATCATTTTGTTGAACTTTCTTCTTTCAAGTTTAGAAGTATTCTTTCTGTTGGTCAATGCCTTAAACTTTTATTTTACGAAATAAAAGTTCAGAAACAGGTGTTGCAGTTTAATGCCTTTTCACTTTAGGAATATAGTTTTTGTTACATCATTTTAGTAGCTGCAATTCCGTCTATTATCAATTTAGTAACATTCTGATTTGCGTCGCTAAAGTTATGTTTATGTGGTAAAAGGATTGCATAGAAGTTTATGTGTTACAGTATATAAGCCCAATCAAATGTTCCATTAATAATTCCTATATGGCTGCCAACAAAATGTATATGAACTCTATTCACAATAAACTTTCATTTTGAAAAGAAAAAAGGATTTGCTATAGTCATTTTTTAGTATCATTTTAGTACCTTGTGATTCAGCACTTCTTCTTGAGGACTATTTGTTTTGTTCAATATCATTAAAATCACAGTCATATAATACTTGTATGGTATAGGGAAAAGAAAAATTTCATATTATCCATGGTGTATGGATAATGTTACTAAAATGATATTATTTCTACAATGATATTAAAAAAATCCTCAAGGAAAAGTGTCGAGTAACAAGGTATGTTGTTTGGTCTACATCTTTAAGGCTTCAATTCTCAAAGTGTATACATCCAAAGTAAGTGATTTGCTTGGTAAGTCCCAATGCTTGAGAGTTAAGAGTTATCTAAATTCATAAATGATATTAAATGTACAAAACACGTATGAATAGAGAAATAAAGAGAATTTTCTACTCAAATTAGAATTTCGTACTCAAATTAGAATTTCTAACAGAGACATTTTGTAAGGAATTTGAAAATTTTCACTTAACTTAGACTTGTGACATTTTGTATAGAATGGCAAAAGAAAAGTGATTCAAAACACGTATGAATAGAGAAATAAAGTATAGAATGGCAAAAAAGAAAAGTGATTCAAAAACCACGTATGAATAGAGAATAAAAGAGGAATTTTGTACTCAAATTTAGAATTTCTAACAGAGACATTTTGTAAGGAATTTTTGAAAATTTTCAACTTAACTTTGACTTTTGTGACATTTTGTATAGAATGGCAAAAGAAAAAGACATTTTGTATAGAATGGCAAAAGAAAAAGTGATTCAATTTCAACCATTAATAAGATATTTCATATTCTATTACTAGTGGATACCAATGTAAAACTCTTATACAAATCCCACATTAGATTAGCACAAAGGGAAGTAATGTACTTAGGTGTTGAGATACCTTAGCCTAGCAAGAGATCTTTTGGGTAGAGTGATAAGGCTCTACTTGAAAACAAAATTGTGAGGGTAGTGACCTATCAAGGCTAGGATGTTACAATAAAAAGGCCATTTGGGTAGAATGGTAAGACTTTACTTAAGAATAAAACCATGAGAGGATGACTCATTGAGACTCCAAAACAGATGCTGGGATATTACAATATTTAACTCCCTTAGGCAAATCTCGCATTGGGTAAGCACAAGAGGAAATGATGTACTTAAGTGTGGAGATGCTTTAGACTAGCAAGAGGCTTTTTGGGTAGAATGGTAAGGCTATACTTGAAAAAGATCTGTGAGAGGATAACCATTGAACCTCCGAAAGTTGACAATTTCTTATGACAAGCTATTATGTAACAATTAGTATGAAAGCCAACTTTTGTCCCTCTGTCTGGTGGCGGCACAAATCTCAGCAATGATGTTTAGTCTCATAAGGGGAGTGTATGTGACACTGCCAGGAAGATCCCTCATCGAATAAGCACAAGGCGAAGTGATGTACTAAGTGTGGAGATGCTTTAGACTAGCAAGAGGTCTTTTAGACAAGGCTCTAATCAAAAACAAAACCATGAAGGGATGATCCGTTGAGACTCCTAAACCAGATACTATCTTGCTACAAGTTGGGATGTTACGACCAGTCAAATAAGTGGATTTGATATTTAATCTTTGATGAGAGAAGCAATGACATTATTTTCTATATTTGAATTTGCTTGAGTTTGGTCTCAGTTGCGATGGGTTAAATAATTGACTATTTATCCTTTTGTCACTTATGTAATTGTGGATTTTGTCTTTCAAGATAACTATGCATTGATTTATGTTTTCTATCCTACTCACAGATCAAAAACTTACAAGCCAGGTTCATGAAATTGTTGGGCGCATTAATGGTAGATTTGGAACATTAACTGCTGTTCCAATACATCATTTGGTATGTTTTTGACTGCTCAACCTGCAAATTTTGCGTTTGAAGATTGTGACATCTTCCTTGTATTCCATGCATATGGTCCAGCTTGATTGATATTAGTTGGTCGAGCCTGTCAGGTTTCTTAAGGGAAGCATGAAACCAATGTAGCATACGAGCAATGCATGATGAAGTAGAAAGGACATGAGAAGAGTGGACATCTTAGAGGGCTCAGGTAGAACATGGTTGGAGAACTTCCACAAACTTCCTTTGTGGAAGTTCTAAGTTAAACTACAATAGTAATGATTGAATTATCATAGTACTTTGGGAAAATTCAGAGTATAGAGTTTGATTTATGTTTTACTGAAAAAATATATGTCAATATTTATGGATTATACCTTCCATTCCATTGCATTCTCAATTGCTATTTTAATGGGAGTGGAACCACTACCTGTTCTGGCTACAAAAATAAAAGAAAAGGAGATAATTTGGGGAGAGAGGCAAAGGAGGGGGTAGGATGCGAGGACTTAGCCATGTAGCAGAAATGAGTGAAAATCCTCTCGAAATGAAAAATGCAAAGTGGTGCTTTTATTGATGAGGGAGGTGGCTATAGCTCAATAAAATAAGTTCCAAATGTTGATTTGTCCATGCACAAATAACAACCAATAGATGGGTTAGCATTTAAGTCCATTATAAGTTTTTACCTAGATTTGCATCTTCTTAAAAAGTCTTCTCTCGTTCCATCAATTCAAAACATTGTAAATCATTTCTTTCATATAAAACTTCTCCAAAATTCTGGCACTATTTGAAAATTGAGTAATTAATTTTCATGGTTAAGTAGTCCCTTTGAATAATTAAGCAAAGCATATATCAATAAATGCTGAATTACCCTTTGAACGGTCAAAAGAATAAACTAGGTGTAAGGATTTGAATTTAATCCTATGCATGTTGCATATTAGGTATAATTATATTTGAAATATTTTAAAATGCTAGAAAAACATTGCAACAACTAGAAGTAATTCTGTAAATTAGACAGAGCAAAGCATAATATTGGACATTGTTTTGTTACCTTATGCATTGTTCAAAGTGCCTAACTATTGTGAATTATGACCAATATTATAAGCGTGATTTTTACTTAAGAAGATCTGATCTTATTGTTTCTTTCTTAAGGTCTGACATTGATACTATCACCAAAGAGACAATGGAAGTTTCCTAAAATTGTCTTATTTGTGCCTGCAGGATCGTTCTCTTGACTTCCATGCATTATGCGCATTGTATGCTGTAACTGGTACTATTCTACATTCTCCAACTTTTAGGCTCACTAATTTTTTTTTTTTTTTTTTTTTTTTTTTTTTTTTTTTGTTTTTTTTTTTTTTTTTTTTTTTTTTTTTTTTTTTTTGCGTACAAACTTTTCTTCTATATTGCTTCCTAGTTCAACCTAGTTTTTAGGGACAACAACAATTAAGCCTTAGTCCCAAACTAGTTGGGGTTGAACCTACTTTTTAGATGGGGAAAAAAGCTTTCTTTTAGCAACAACATCTATTTCTGAAATCTTTATTGAACACTACTAGAGTCCTTTAATTGCCATGTTTATTATGCAACTTAATTCTCCTTGAGTGTATTATTTTTGTTTTTATTTTCCTTTTCCTTGTCCTCATCTCTTTCCTCATCTTTACAGAATTTTTGCTTTGCTTAATGCTCATGTTTTCCAAATTTTTGTGCATGATAATTATACTCTTTCTTGGAATTTTCCCTTCTTTAGAAATCTCAATCACTGCTTGTTCTGTTTGATTCTGTTCAATTATCTACTAGTGTAGACAGAAGGATTTGGTCTTTGGATTCCTTTGTAAAAATTTTCTTGTAAAAAACTTTCTATTCCCTGCTTATTTTCCATTCTTGAAACTATTCATTTCAATGTTCCAATAAAATTTGGAGAGCTAAAATTCTACTCAAAATAAGAGCTTTTATTGGTCTTTGATTCTTCAAAAGATGAATATTAATACTCTTTCGCAAAAGAGGTCAAATGAGGTTTTATATCCTGACAGTGTGTTATTTAGCATAGTGAGTTCATTCTCACCTATTATGAAGTGGCTTGGCTATCTGGAGTAGGCTTTTAGCAATTTTTGGAGCATAGTGGGTGTCCCCAGTTTTGTTGGTTTAAGAGGGTTTGGTGGCACAAAAGATGTCAATATGCTTTGGAATTGTGCTTTTCTTTTTACAGTCACATGGACTCTTTGGATGTAGGATGCATGTATTTCAAAATCAGAGCATGTCCATCAGTTTGTTGTGAGACAATGGTGTTTTTGGGTTCTATGTGAGCTGATGCTTCCAGAGCTTTTTTACAGCGATCTTTTTGATTGTTATCCTTCAGTTGGAGGGCATTACATTTTAGGTTGTATTTTATGTTTCTGGTTTTTAGCTGTTTTTGAGCTTAAGAGGATTTCTTGTCTTGCATATCGTACATTCATTTCTATCTTTTTTCTCACTAATATTTTTTTCTATCTAAAAAAAAAAAAAAAGAAATTTGTTCATGTTTGTGACCAATACTGTCTCTTCCACTTGCTCATGTCTTGTACAGATGTTGCACTTGTAACTTCTTTAAGGGATGGAATGAATCTAGTCAGTTATGAGTTTGTGGCATGCCAAGATTCAAAGAAAGGTGTTCTCATTCTTAGTGAGGTAATAAGACAAGATTTAAAGTGTGAAATTATTTCCCCTTCTCATTCTGTGAACTTTCAAATGGATAAAAAACCATAATGTATGTATGCGAATGACATGGTAGGAATCGTTTGAAGATCTAATTGTGGTTTTATGTCCATTTGATGAATCTCTCATTTTGCTTAAAGATTTTGCATTTCATTGCTTAAATCTGGTACCATGATTGGTATCAGGTCACCTAAATGTAAAATCAGCTTTAAGAAACATAGTCAGCATTTTTTTTTTCCTGAAATTAGTAAGTTCAATAAGTAGTGAATTTTTATCTTCAGACTAGTTATGGACAACAAACCTCTCCTTTGACATGCGACTAACCATAACTAGGTAAACTTGGAGAAATTGGAGATTTTTATTTCCTTTGTGACATTTATGAACATTTAGTATCGAGGACTACAAATTCCCAATTCTAACTCAAACCAATATGGGAAACAGAAATTCCGAAGTTGGAAGGTATGCTTTTTGAACTGTAGCATCTGATTTGAGTTGTGAAGGATTTTGGTCTTGCAGTTTGCTCTTAAAATGTAAAATATGAATTAAATTGTCTTGTTTTGGATAGAATTTAGAAATTTTTGGTGTTACATCACTGTTGACCTAATATGAGTTCTGCAGATAATGCATTGTATCTTATAAGTCTGCATGCTGCATTTTGCATTTTCTGTAATCAGTTAAGATTTATCTGATGATGGTTGGATAGAGATAAGTGGTTACTATTTTTTTTTTTTGTCATAATTGGCATAAAGAACCAAAAAAAGGACATCCTCTCCTAGTCTAAGCAAATGGTGTTCAAGTTTTAGACTTAAGAGGGCACTCACATTTTTCATAGTAATTAATGCTTCTGCTTCTTTTCGACTTGTAATGCGCTTGTGTATCTGTTTCTTAGTTTGCAGGAGCAGCACAGTCTCTGGGTGCTGGAGCAATTCTTGTGAACCCTTGGAATATCACTGAAGTTGCTGATTCAATACGTGAAGCTTTGACTATGTCATGTGAAGACAGAGAGAAGAGACATCGCCATAACTTTAAACATGTGACCACTCACACTGCTCAGGAATGGGCTGAGACATTTGTGAGGTATGGTATTTTCAAATGAATTTGGGTATGCTTAACTATTGGTTTGCAGTGATTTATTTCTTCAAATTTGCCAAAAAAAAAAAAAAAAAAAAACTGAGGACATTTGTTGAGGTATGGTATTTCAATGGGATTGGGTATGCTTTAACTATTGGTTTGCATGGATTATTTCTTGCAAATTTGCCAAAAAAAAAAAAAAAAAAAAAAAAACACACTATTGCACTCAATTCTTCAGCAAAAATACTAGAAGTACTGAATTTTAGGGATTAACACATTATATAGACCTATGCTTGCAATTGTGTGAAAAAAAAAAAAAAAAAAAAACACACTATTTGCACTCAATTCTTCAGCAAAAATACTAGAAGTACTGAATTTTAGGGATTACAAATTATATAGACCTATGCTTGCAATTGTGTCTATCCTTAATAATGGAGCTTGGGACAAATCTCTGCTAGATATGTTTATTGCGCTTGTAATTTCATAGGAACATTAGATTGGAACCTTTAAATGCAAGTCTATTTTAAGACATTTTGTTATAAAGAAGATTTACATGTATTGTCCTTTCACATATTTGATCTTCTGAAATATGGGATTGAGCTTTGGAATACTGGGCTTACTGTTTGGTCGTAAGGCTAGGTTCCGGCATGCCATGAGAGTGGAGGAAATAAAGTTTGGATCAGCTATATTTATTTAAATTATTATTACTTTTTTGGTTCTACGCCTTTGACAAGAATTGTTTGCTTATTTCCCATTAGAAGATTTGACATAGCATATGTGTCTGAATATAGTACATCATATGCATATGAAAAATCTGCATTTCATGTACTTATTCAGGAGAGATGGTGGTCAAGATATAAATGTTCTTAAGAGAAGGATTCCTCTCAAGTGTAAGTTACATGTCATATGATCTGTTCCTTGACAGGTCAACCCATTAGACTTAAAATCTACTCAGATAAATCAAGTACTTCAAATTTCAAATCCATATCTGCAAGTATTTTGTATCATTCCCAAGTATTCAGACAAAACAAGTATGTAAAATCTTTTCCTAAGTTATATCAAAGAAAAGTTTGATATAATGTTGTGATATATCTGTATATGTATCTTCACATCTATTCGATGATATAAAGTTGAAGTACTCTATCTACAGGGGTAAAGTATTAGATCTAATGCAGGTTTATCAAATATCAAATGATAAAAAAAAAAAAAAAGTTTTCGTGCTTTTTATAATATCGTTCAACTTAGTATAAGTGAGTCCTCTCACTTTTATCACATGCTGCTACAATTGCGATTCTACTTGTATGAATGAGCACTCTAGCTCATAATTTGTAGTTGTTTGTTATATGTCTCAACATCCAAAATTTTCTTTTATTTTGCTGCAGTGAACTAAATGATACAGTTATTGAGGCTCAGCTGAGAACTAGACAAGTTCCGCCTATGCTTCCAGAAGGAGATGCAATTAGACGCTATTCACACTCTAATAATAGGTTGCTCATACTGGTATGTCCTGTTTGATTTTTAATAATTTATAAAGTTGCTCGAGTGAGATTCTCATTGGTTGTCAAACTCGCTTTTTTACCTAGAATCGGTGGGCAGTCCACAAAATCATAACGTAGAATCGAATTGTAAAATCATGAGATTTTACAAACCACATAAAATACAATAACAGAGCCCCATATTTACATTCCTAACAAGTCAAGAACCAAAAATGATAGCAAGAAAAGGTAAAAAGACTTCAATCTTGATGGAGTTGTTGTAGTTCTAGCTTCTTGCAGGGCTTTTAATATGGTTTAAATCTTTTCATCTCTTCTTGTTATGGCCTGCTGTTTATTTATGGTAAGGAAGGATCGAAGGTTATAGGTAAAAGAGGAGCTAAAAAGGAGGAAAGGAAACTGCATAGAGAGACAAAATAGGAAGGGGATCGTGAAAGTGATTGATCCCTAATTGTATTACTGTGTAATTTTATTTTTTCAATTATTTTTCTAATTTTCAGGCTTCCAAACCTGGCCCAAACCTCAATTTTTATTGTCAATAAGACCAGCCAATAGCCTATTTATCATTTTTTGGGCTAAAACTTTCAGCCCAATGGACTATTTCACAGAGGGTTTAGACTCGATTCGATTTTACTGTTTTTACCGATTTTGCTACAATTTTACCATGAGTTCACCAGTTTCCCAGTTTAAGCACGAGTTAACACGATTTATTGAGTTAGCAACTCGTGATTTTGGTAACACTGAGTGAGAACTGACAATCCAATCAGCAGATACTTGCATGGTATGTTGCCATCAAAATTAATGTATCAAGTCTTCTCTTTGGTTAAATTTACATCTATCTTCACTTTGGTTATACACCAGATCCTCCGTACCTTACTTCAATAGGAAGTTAAGTACGCATTACATGGCAAATGTTTTCATCCTTTTCTTAAAGATGAAACCAATTAAATAAAAGATTTAATTTCAAGGAAAAATCCATCTCTAACTAGCCTCAAAAACGGCAAAAGCCATCCTTCTTCTATTCTCCATGCTTTTCCTTTAAACCCTATGCAAAGGCTTTTAAATTGGTTGCACTTTACCCTACCTACATATAAAATTGCATCACCCATTTGTGTTCTAAGCGATAAATTCAACAATTTGTTAACAAATAGCTTCATGCTCAATAACGAGCTATTTCTTCCAAATCAAATTGTGACCTAAGTACAATTAGGTTGAGTTCTCTTCTTGTCCAAGTATGCATGCCCCTGGTATTTCCAGTGTCTGTAACTCAGAAATCTAGAGGATGGTTTCTTCTCCCTATTTTATTGGTTTTGGTGCAAAGAGAACCAGACTAACTATAATCGTTAGGCAATTAATGCCTTCAGTATCTGATTTTTCTGAGGTTTTGTAAATGATTTTTCTGTGCTGCTGTCTTTTTCATTTTTGGGTGTTTAAATTACAGGGATTCAATGCAACGTTGACTGAACCAGTTGACACTCCTGGGAGAAGAGGTGATCAAATTAGAGAAATGGAACTTAAGTTGCACCCAGAGTTGAAAGAACCACTAATTGCACTGTGCAGTGATCCAAAGACAACCATTGTTGTTCTGAGCGGGAGTGACAGAAGTGTCTTAGATGAGGTATCTTTCCTAGTTTCATCTGTATTATCTTTTCCTAACCCTTAAGTGTAATAATAGTTAGCTGAGATTTCTTTTCACTTACACAGAACTTTGGGGAGTTTGACATGTGGTTAGCTGCAGAACATGGAATGTTCTTACGGCTTACCAAGGGAGAATGGATGACAACAATGCCAGAACACTTGAACATGGAATGGGTTGATAGTGTGAAGGTGCTTCTGTTGACATTGCATCAGTTTTCACTCATGCATCCTTAGCTCTAAACAAATAAAGTGACTCTGTTAACTTGTTTTTCAGCATGTTTTTGAGTACTTCACAGAACGTACACCTCGCTCACATTATGAACTTCGGGAAACATCACTTGTATGGAATTACAAGTATGCAGGTACTTGCTCATTTTGGAGGATTGACTGGGCTAATCTGTGAAGGAGTATTTTCACTTCCCTGCCTTGATGTTAATTCCCATCTTATTATGACTGTAGATGTTGAATTTGGAAGACTTCAAGCTAGGGATATGTTGCAGCATCTCTGGACAGGCCCAATTTCTAATGCATCCGTTGATGTTGTCCAAGGCAGCCGATCAGTTGAGGTTAGAGCTGTTGGTGTAACAAAGGTAAAATGCATGTTTAATGCACTTAATTCTCTATGTAAAGTACTTACTTATGATTGCATGTACTGGAGTTTTTTGTCTATATATTTGACTGCCCATTTCTTGTCAGGGTGCTGCTATTGATCGAATATTGGGGGAGATCGTTCACAGTAAATCCATGACAATGCCAATTGATTATGTTTTGTGTATTGGCCACTTTCTTGGAAAGGTAATTTGAATAACTTATATGTTGATAGTGAAGAGAGAAAGATATTTGAGAGAGAGAACTCTATTTCAATTGTGTATAATTCATATACATAGGTCTATGTCTAAATAGGAATCCTAATCTAAATAGGAAAAATATAGAAAAAGAACAAATATCTCCCTACAATAATTGCATAATATTCTGAAATCATATAAATCAACACTCCCCCTCAAGTTGGTGCATAGATATTGCACATGCCCAACTTGAAAACCAAGTTATAAAACTGTTTCTGTTTAGCTCTTTAGTAAAGACAGCTGCAAGCTGATTATCCAAGGACATGTGTGTGAGTTTCAGAACACCATGAATAACCTTTCTTTTATGAAGTGTCTATCAATCTCTATATGCTTTGTCCGGTCATGTTGAAACAAATGCAATATGGCTAAGTACAGTCCAGTACTGATACTGTCTTATTGATACCATTATTCATAATCTTAGACCGTGGTGTCAATCTTAGTTAACAGAGTTGGATATATCTTGACAATCTGAGTTTAAGCTTATTTTATTTTGTTTTAATGAGCTCCAATTGGGTATCATATATAGGAAGTTGGAACAGTATCAAATTGATGGTTAAAATAGGAAACTGAAATCATGAAAAGCTAATTATTGGTAAGCATAGATTATACTTTTTGCTTGTATTATTTGCACGATGAACCTGCAATGAATATGGCCAACTTTATGAATTGTCTTACAGTTTTTTGTATGCTCTTTATTCCCTTTAAATAAAAGAGTAAATTCAAATTGCCATGGTGTAGATGAGTTTCTCTATCCCTACAGTATAATGAAAAATAAAGCATGGTCTTTTGCCAAATATTTGCTTGGTGTAATACATCTTTGTCCTGCAACTGCAAGCGTTAAGGTTTTAAGTTTTAGAATCATTTGGTGAAATCATAACTTTAACTGGATTGTGCTTTTCTTGTATGCTTGAAAGGCATAGTTCGATTTCCATTTCTAGGTTAATTAAGTTTGGTACCATATGATGAAGATTCTTGGAAGAGGAGAAGCAGAAAAAACTATATCTGAATTGATAAGCTTGTGCTTTGAGCTGTGAAATTTTCCATTGTCATGCTCTTGATCAGATTTTCATTCCCTGTTGTTTCAGGATGAAGATGTGTATACCTTCTTCGAGCCGTTGTTACCTAATTCTGATGGCATAGGTATCACAAGAACCAAGCAAACAGATGGATTAAAGTCACCTGGGGAAAAGCGACCTCCTTTTAAGCTTCTGGCCAGTAAAAGTGGATCAAAATCGTACCAAGGTAAGACACAGCGACCTTCACCAAATCCTGAGAAGAGAACTAACAACCACAGTTGCGGGAGTGCGCGGCGGCAGTCACCCGAAAAAATTTCATGGAATGTGCTTGATCTCAAAGGAGACAATTATTTCTCCTGTGCTGTTGGCCGAACTCGAACCAGTGCTCGCTATTTACTACATTCATCGGATGATGTTGTCTCGTTTCTAAAGAAACTAGCCAATGCATCTTTTTCTGACAAGTCATGGTGAAGTTGCAAGATGTTTCAAGCTATTATGCGCTCCTTAACAGGAATCTTACTCAACTGAAAGCATAAAATTGATGAGTTCTAAAAGAAAGAGAAATGATCAAACCACAGTAATTACTCATCATTGAAAGATCCAATAGGTATTTTATTGCCAATTGCATCATTTATATTCTGCTAACGTAAGAATTTCATTTTTACATATATTATCCAAAATGCTTTTACTGTATAGCTGGTGCCTGAACTTTGGTAATCTTTCTGTTTTAGTATCTCAAGTTTATTTTTTATGATCAAGTGTTTAAATTGAGAATTTTTTTTTTTTCAATTAAGTATAATTGGCAAGAATTACAATTTTATTTAGTGAATCATGCGATAGATAAACATCCATTTTTATTTATCTTTTTTTCATTTTAGAGTTTATATGTCTTAATTTTTTATTTTAAAAAAGAGAAATATAAAGAATTTTCATAAGTTTCAAAAATGAATTAACAGAAGTCAAAGGATGAAATAAAGATAAAAATACAATCTAAACAAATAAATGGAATGAAAGGATGGGGGTATGACGAGTTATTCCTATTTTTGATATTTTATCAAGAAATTTTGGTCAATGCACTTAATTGTAAAAAAATTTATCTGATTGACAAAAGGAAAAAAATAAATAAGTTCATCCTTGAGTTATAGACTAATAGTAACACACGAGGACCATTACTTTGAAAATCTAACTTCATTAACTTATAATTTGATTAATATGTTGGTTTTTCCATTCAAACTAGCCTCTTAGTTATCAATTGACTGAGCAATTAGTTCTCAAAATTATAGTCCAACTATGAGGTTCTTTAACTTTTGATTATCATTAATCCTTATGATTTATGAGGTTCTTTAATTTTTGATTATCATTAATCCTTATGATTTCTGTTAACGCTTGAGTCTCTCTATTTTAGATAGAATGATGTAAGTATTAAAAAAATTATTAGGAATGCCAAAATGGGTCAAGATATGTGAACAAAATTCGCCTTTTACGCAAAATAAATAGATTAGGATTGAGGTTAAACGGATTCGTGTTATAAATGGGTCATTTATCTATGAGACGATATGTGCCTCGATCGAGCATCGAGGGGTCGAGCCCCTTGGTTGGTTCGTCACGAAGACTGGGAGTAACTCCTTATGGTTCCTTTTTGTTTGGTTGTACGGATTCGTGTTATAAATGGGTCACCTATCTATGAGACGACATGTGCCCCCGACCGAGCATCGAGGAAAAGGATGTTCGAATGACGGAGTCCTTTGATCCGGTCGAGCCCCTTGGTTGGTTCGTCACGAAGACTGGGAGTAACTCCTTATGGTTCCTTTTTGTTTGGTTGTACGGATTCGTGTTATAAATGGGTCACCTATCTATGAGACGACATGTGCCCCCGACCGAGCATCGAGGAAAAGGATGTTCGAATGACGGAGTCCTTTGATCCGGTCGAGCCCCTTGGTTGGTTCGTCACGAAAACTGGGAGTAACTCCTTATGATTCCTTTTTGTTTGGTTGTTTAGGTGTTTAGATTGATTAGTCAAATTGTGGCTCGGTTTAGCGCTTTAAGTGATGTCGGGTTGGCTCTTTGGAGCGCTTTTGATAGGTGTGTGGTGTGATAGAGTTGCCACTTAATTTGTTTTTATTTTCGGGGAAAAGACTAAGGAATAAAACTTGTGTTGGACTCCATTTTCAGTTTGCTTTTCAGGATAAAAGCACTAGCCTCGAATCATTGGGTTCAGGGACTAGGTTTTCGGTTTCTTTCAAAATGAATCAATGGTTTGCGTTATAATTGAGAAATCAAAATCAGTGTTTTGCATGAATGTTAGATTATCGATGCATGAGCATACTAATAATGCATGACAATATCGGAAATATAATGATTAAAAGTAATATTAATGGTGTAATTTGGAGGGGAGCTCGACTTTAGCCTCGTTTATCAAGGATTCTAGGTCGTGTAACACATTCCCTACATTCTGACCGATCAGTTTGGTCGAGGGTCCGCTATTTAAGTTGAAATCTGTATGTATGCCTTTGTACCTCACTTGTATGAGTATCAGGGCGCACGAAGTTTTACCATTGATTAAGACAGTAGGGTTTTGAAGGTGTCACTTGGTGGAATGGGCTTTAAATGGTGTACCGGGTAGACCGGGCTTAGTTAAAAACTGGTTTTGTCGGACGGCCGGGCTTCAAAGTATGTTATATGCCGGACGGATCGAGCTTGACAGTTAATAACGTGCCAGACGGATCGGGCTTAATTGACAAAGGTTAAATTAAAGTTTTTATACCCTAGGTCCCGGGGTTGAGAGGTCGGATGGTGCAAGTGTGTGGTTGCGAAGCTCCATGATGGAAAATGACCAAAGAGATCGAGTCTTCCTCCAAATAAGCAAAGGACGAGCACGGGACCCTAGTATAATTCTTATAATATTGTTAATTAACGAATTATTAATTAATACCGCAACATCCCTTACAAGGAGCCTAAGGCAGATCTTACTTTAGTTAAAAACGTGTATGGGTTTTATTGTACGTAGGCGCCCCGGCGCCTTTCAAGTAAGTAGTCTATAACCATGCGGACCCTTGGATCGGAGATGACTTGACAGTCTAAATAACGTGCCAGACCGGATCCGGCTTAAATTGACAAATTAAATTAAACGTTTTTTCATTTACCCCACTATTGTCCCCCCCTTGGGGCGTTGAGAATTGGTTTCGTGAGATTGTTGTTAGGCAAAGTGCTTAGTGGTTTATGTCGAAGTCCATGATGGAGAAATGACCAAATACCTTGACGACAATAGAATACATTCAAATAAGCAAGGACCATGCATGCACCAACAGGGACCCTAGTAATAAGTTTTATAATATTGTTAATTAACCCAGAATATTTAATAATTAATTCTTACAATATAAATAAGTTATATAATAATTGACGCACTAGTAGCTTTCGCGGTCTCCTACAAGTTAAAGATCAAAGTGTGAGTGAAAGTCGAAAAGAATTTAACTTTTTAAGTACATGTTCAATGCCTTAAACTCAACCCTAAAGGAAGAATGAGCAATGTCGGACCTAAAATTAGCCGTGTAGAATCGTTCAAGGGAGAGTGAGAATCGGTTGATGACAGCGCTGCTGTGAAGCGCGTTAAAAATGCCAACAAGAAGCGTTGCCCTCTGAAAATGAGGGGACAGTGTCCCGTAATTCTATAGGCTAAAGCGGTTACTCGGCAGAGGACAGCACAGCGGGCCAACCACCTCAAGATTGGTACTCGATATGAAATTTGAAAATCGGTACAGATTGAGGTGCTTCGAATACTAGCTAGATTCGAATAGGGGATGAATCGGTGTTCGTCCAGGAGCTGGTTTTGCCACCCAACACAGGGCAAATTACCTCGTCCTGGCCTCTTGGTATTTCTGTTTTTTACGGGTTTTTTGGGCTTTCAGAAAGTCCGTCATGACGCCCCCCCGAGCCCAAACCAATTCTGATCGAGAGCTGAAATTCTCGCTCCGTTTGAACGTAGTAGAATTTCCTAAAGCTTGAATGCTACAACATCATGGCTCACAGTTTTTCCCCCTCCCGACGAGATCGGAGCCTGATTAAGGTCCGACCTTTTTTTTGACCCCCGATTTCAGCACTTCGAATGGAATTTTGGTCTGAGAACCAATATGTGACCAAGTGTGTGACTGTCTGGAACATCTTTGTGAAAAATCTTGCCTTTGATTTTATAGAAATATCTTTAATTTGGAGCCGTGTCTAGTTTCCAGTTTGACTTTTCTGGGTCCTTTTTGTAATCTTTTATCAAAATCCAGCAGTGACGCCTTAGAGGGTTTCCAGTGGCTTGCATTCCATCCGACCAGCGATGAATTTTTCAGGAGTTCATGAGGGATACTTGGGCTCTGTCCCTGTGGAGGAAGGCCCAGGGCAGCTTTAATTTTCTTGCTTGTAAAGAACTTTGTACTGACTGTTCAGTTTGGCTAAGGGTGACACTTGAGCGGTGACTGACCTAGTCCTTCAGATGGAGTAGGAGTCAGGATAGCTAACCATGACTTTGGCCGAGACTATTTTGAAGCCCCAGGCTTATAGAGTGGGATGGGGGCTCAGCCCCAATTCTTGCTTCAGGTAAGCTTTCTTGATCTAGTTAGTAGTGTATTCATTCCTGGTTAACGTGCTTTCCTAAAAAGTCCTTAGGTTCTTGAATAATCGGTGGTGTCTAAGGCGATTGTATATGAGTGCATGTTTTAACAGTATTTGGTAGTGGAGGCAACAGGTCTGGTCTTGCATGCCTTTCGGAGAAAAGGCTTAAATGTTTAAGCCTAACGGGCACATTTGCCGGCCGAATCTGTCTTTAAGTAGCGAGATTTTGCATATGGATCGTCCTGTTCGACGCATAACTTTTTATGCCCCTCACCCTAACCCCGGTGATTGATATAACGATAAGGAATAAAGAATCACGGTCAACCAGAGTGTTCTTAAACAAAAAAATTGAACTCGAACCGGTCCAAAAGGGTTTTGACCCGCGTTAGGGTTGCGCTCACGCAGCTTATCACCTTGTGAACGGCACTCAATAGTTGCGTCACCGCAACTTTAAACAACCTAGGTTGAACAGGCCACCGGGACACGCCCCGTGTACGGTCGCACTGTTCGTCATGGAATACGCGGCAATTGTTAACGAAAAGTAGCTGCGTCACGCAAGCTCGCGGTCCGTCACGCAGCTACTACCTGCGTGAACGCAGCTTTGTTCTGTTGCCCTATCCCATATAAAATACAACATCTTCATTTTCTAAACGGGACTTTTTCCTCATTTTTCTCTTCTGGACTAAGGCATTTTAGCGCTGAGAAGTACATCCCCTCCTACTGCGGCATAGCGGTTTTCCCCAAGAACTCTAGTGAGTAAACCCTTGAGGAAGTCAAGCTATTAGATATACAAGATTGAAAACTTAAAAAAATCACAAAAGGACCATAAAGAGAGAGAAAAGTGTAGAGAAAATGGGAAGAAAAGAAAACGTTTTTTATTGCTAAAAACTTGGTGTTACACACTTCCTGGGATCGTGAAGTAGTGGTTTTCCCAAATCATCCAAACCGTATGCAATCCTCAAATCTGAGGGTTAGGTCTAATCCATCTAAACTTCTTTTTCCATTTTTAGTTGTTTATTTGTGAAATCCAAATTTTCTTAGTATTTCGGTTAGTTTGGGTAATTGGTTAAACAACATTTTGCCCATTTCTACGAGTGTTTCTGAGTTATATTAAACCTTTGTTCAATAAAAAGAACACGTAAAAAACGGTAGTTA